AAGCAGAAAACTATACCGAAACTGAAGGTGGAAAGAACCACTGAAGTCGTCAAATCTAGCCTCCATGGTACTAAACCGAGCATCAATACGCTCACAAAGAAGCAGCTCAACCCCATCGGTTTTGTGACATTTCCCGTCTTTTTTCTGTCGTTTCCCTGGAGGTGATTTCAAACCTACTTCCTCGGATGATCTTTTACCCGAATTGCTTGAAACCTATAAATTAATATAAAAAGGGAACCAAATATACTATTAGCATGCTCCCACTCGTCAAAAGAATCAAATATAGCATTTTGCACAATCAGTCTTACCACTTTCGTTAACAATACCTCTACGTCTCCGCTCCCCCAACTCATCAAATCCAAACTTCCATCAATGGTGTGGAAAATACCATTTGCATGCTCTAAGAATATTAACTACAAAAAAAGCTATATTCAACATGATGATTAATCATTACGAATATGTAGAAAGTAGGGATAAGCAATTATTTACCTCCAAAAACAACAAGCAACCAGGTATATACTTTTTCCCATAAGCATTATGGTTGCAGATGCATTTCAGCAATTCATTGAAGCAATAGGATGCCTAATTCTTCTTCGGAATGTCCGCAACATTGGTGACAGCGTATACCGAAGATAACGAAATGTCATCTCTTCTAGTAGATACTAATAGCACCCCCATTACGTACAATATAAAAGTTTTAACAAATAGATCGCTGCTCTCTTTTATCTTCAACAACGTCTTTCGCATTAAGCTTGTGGAAATCGCCTGTCGGTCATAGTCACGAGTCGAATACACTCTAAATTCTTTCAGTTCCTCGGATCTTCCAACCACTTCTTCACCATCCAAGATGATATTCGTCCCTCCCTCCGGGACACCCATAATTCGCTGGAAATCTTTGGCCGAAATATGCACTTTCAACCCATACGCCTGAATTGTGCTTTCTTCCAGATTAAAGCTCTTTAAAAGTTTCTCCAACGACTCACGTTGTAACATTCTCCCCTTGACTTCAAGAATCCGACCAAAGCCACATCTCTTAATGGCCTCTGATTGATAACCCTCTAAATTTGAGACTAGGGAGAATACTTTCCTGGGAGAACATCGCGTGCTAAACAAGTCATGCCTCTTCGTCTTCATTATAGAACAATTTCAACAAACTGCAAAATTAAAACAACAACAAAATTATAAGCATTCCTTCAAACACGAATTATAAGCATGTTAAAGAGTACAAACAAAATACACAAAGCCAGAGTCGTCCTCCACTGATCTAAAAGAAGCAACTTTCACAGGTAAACACATTCTAGAAAATGTACTTATGACAAAGTTTCATTCTAGAAAAGGATAATTTAATCATTAGGTAAACACATTCTCCAGGTAGTGATTTCAATCCTGGTTTTCACTATATGGCTTTTATCAATATTAAAAAAATGCAAGACGATACCACAACTCACAAGCACACTTGCCTCGATATCAAGTTCCAACTACCAGAAGAACTGAAAACCCCACTGAATACCTGAGTATACTAATTAACCATGAAATCCGTCATTGGCATATATAAAATTCACCCAAAACACACAGCTTCCATAAACAGTTCTCACGGTTCATTCTCGAATTCTCACGGCCGTGACATGCCCCGTGAGAAGTAAAGAGCAATTTTCATATCCCCAGGCAATCTCACGGCTATGGCTTAATAAATCACGGCCGTTAAACGAAGCCGTGAAACTAAAACACCCAGCTTCCACTAAAACATTCTCACGGCTCGTTCTGAAAATTTCACTGCCGTGACATCTTTTCATGTGATAAGCAAAATAGTATTCCTTTTCCCAGCTCTGATCTCATTCAATCTCAACAAGCTTTGGCATTGAAAAATTCAACTGATGTCCCTTATAACTTGGGCAACATAACACCAACAAGAATAAGAGGGAGGAGATATGGAAAAGAACTTTGCAGCTACCAAAATATGCTATATAGGGTTTAATCTGGTCATCAAAATAAGCTTCACAAACAGGAAATCTCGTTCAGTCTATCTATCAACACTATCGGTTCAAGTCTACATTGTTCTGTTGAATATAAGTTACAATGAAGTTAAATGTAGTGTCCAACTGTACATACCTGGTTGATACATTAAGAATTGAAAACCTTGAGCCCACCAAGCTTCCACCCATCACGTTCCTCTTCAACCGATCGCTTGTTACGCTAGAACTTGAGCCGAGTCACACCCTGATTTGTGGGCTTCCCATACACTTAGCACTGTCTCTTTTGCCACAAGAGCCCTACAAATCCCAGTAGCACAGAACAAAGTGTAAAATTTAATCCCAGCAGCACTGAACAAAAGTATAAAGCTAAAGAAGTTTAGTTTGCTAAGGTTCTCCACTTCTCCCTAACATGTTATTGAAAAGATATCGGTCTTACAACTAACAGAAGATGAAGATGAAACTCTCAACAACATGAAAGTTTATTTTCCAACACTTCAATCTGCATATGATGACACCAGAGACTGATATATTAATCCCTTTTACTTGCTCCATTAACAGTCCAAAATGGAATCAATCATCTCTTTTGCTTCACATCATCTCTAATCCATTCCCGCTCTATTTCCATCCAAACTGGCTAAAACTGAAGTCACCCTGATTTCATGAACTAATTCTTCACTAACAAACTCAATTGCACCTTTCATGCAGCCAAGCAAGACCCTTCCATTAACAGTCCAAAATGTAATCAACAGGCAACGGTAACGGCACTACAATACCAACAAGACCAAATCAACTCTTCTAGAATTTTCTCGGCAGACTCAGTTTGAAGGCAAACAACAATCCAACTTGTCTCAAGCCAAACTGAAATGAATCAAACTTTGAGTATGAACTTTCCCATTTGATTTGCCTCCATAAAACACAAATAAAGTCTCTCCAATCAAAAAGTTAATACTGGCATGCATAAAGGAAGGAACATAATCGCTAGCTAGGTCAGATTGGAGCAAATTTTTTTGAGATCACGCATGGTTGAGATTAAGTCCAAGGTTCACTTGATGAATCACGCCAAAACCTATCACTTGATGAGTCTCTAATCAGAAAAATAATACTAGAATGCATAAAAGAAGGAACTAATGTAAGCATGAGGAGATGAAGTCCAAGGTTCACTTGATGAATCACGACAAAACATATCAATTGCATCACAATCTTGCTCTAATAGTAAACTGAAGTAATAATCACATAAACGTAGACGGAGCCAGCATTCAAACGAAATAAAAAGCTCAAATGAATTCAAAGAATCACATAAGATTAATGCTTCAGTTCACATCAACACAAAAGCTCATGCAAAGAATCACAGAAGACAAATGCTTTGATTACCCTTCTCTAGAATACATCCACACAACAAGCATACTACAAGTAGTTGCTAGCTTAACCACAATGGGAACATGATTAGGACTCTTCTCCCACGACTCACAAAGACAAGATGTTAGAATATTGATCTAATTAGGATTGTTTCCAAGAAAACATTGGTTTTTGTATTGACAACATGTTCTGTTGATGCCAAGCTTAGAGCAGCCTGCTTCAATATGTTTAAGGTCCAGAGAGCGCTGATTTCCCAAAGCCTTTAACCACCTCCAGCTCCGTGCGAATACCTGAAAAAAAGGTCCCACCGGGGGGGTCCTGGTTGGAACCTCCTCCGACGCTCAAATTAGTAACCTGAATAAAATAAATACGATGACGTTAGACCTGGTTCGGTCCCACGGTCGTAATTGAGCGTCGTCGGCTATTTAATGCCGCCCGGTGGAGACTATCCACGATCCCATGGCTTAGTCCACCAAATTGAGAGTGTGTTGAGTGTTAAGAGATTTAACACGTTTTTGGGAGATCGGGAGGAGAGAGAAAACGTTTTTAGAGAGAGAAAGTAGAGAGAGTGTATATTGTGTGTGAGTTGTGTTGTGTGAATTAGTCGTAAGCGACTTATGTGGTGTGTGTGTGTGTGACTTGTTGTTGTTTTGAAAGGGGGAGGGGTGCTCCCTATTTATAGGAAAAAGTCGTAGTTAAATTCCTCGACTTATGTTAACATTCACCAACATTCTCCATTATTCTCCTATACTCGTTAATATTCTCCGTACTACCTTAACATTCTCCGTCATACACTAATATTCCTCACCAATTATGGTATATGAGAAAGTTTAAGTGTGTACGAGAAAGCATGAGAAAGTGTAAGTATGTAATAGAGAATAAATGAAAATAAGTGAGTGATTATGGAACATAGAAAATTGGTGAATGGTTTTAGTTCTCTACTCTACGTATGCATGGGAATGAGATGCTTATGTGGGAAATAGGTGCAATATGTAAGAACAAAGGGGAGCATGTACATATGTGAATGTTGCATGTTCATGCATGGTTGTGCATGTGGAAAGTAAGAAAATGAAAGAAAATGAAAGAAAGAGGAAGAAGTGGAGGTTGGAAGCTTTTGTGTATGGGAGGTGGAATATTTATGTATGCATGTATGGGAAGAAGAAAGAAAGAAAAGGAATGTGAAAGAACAAAGGAGAAATAAGGAGGAGTGTGTCTGTTTGTCATCTTCCCTTTTGCATGGGGAAGGAGGAAATAAGAAATAGAAAAATCAAATAAAAGAAAGAAGGAAGGGAAGGAGTAATAGGTGGGAAGGAAAAGGGAAGTAAAAGACATAATTTATGGTTAGGGAAAGTAACAAGAATAAGAAAAAACAATAATAAGAGTTGGAGAGTAAAAACAACATAGGAGATGGATGATTTTAACGGTATAATACGAGTGTTCGGGTGTTTCAAGTACCGTAATAATTAAGAATCTATCGAGTGTATTAACGAAAGGTGAGGTGTTTAATATTTTTAAAATTTTATCGATTAAGAATTGGGTCTATCAATTGCCCCCTTACCAATAGAAAAATTCGGAGTTCGTCCGGACATTTTCTGACGGTAAGTCGGTATTAGACCCAGTTTCAAACGTTGTTCCTATAAATACTAGAGCGGAGGGAACTGAATTCATTCTCCATTTCCCAGCTTCATGCTCTCGTACTTTTCCTCCCACCTTTTCATTTCTCACAAAGCAAAAGCAGTTCACTACCCACAGTAAACTCTTGTTTCACTATCCCTAAAGTAAATTCTCATTTTACCTTTAGTAAAAATGGCGAGTTTACCTTCATCATTACGAGATAATCAACATTTAATGATTATACCGCTTTCCACTGTTGTGGTGGCAAGAGGATCGGATGCCAGTGGGTCTCAAAATATAGCACCTAACCCAGTGGGTTTTAATGTCTGCCCTTGGGAGGTGATGTATCCTCTTGGTTGAGTGCCTCCGGAGTACCCAGTAGGTGGCCTGGGACGTGGTTTTACGCAAAGTGAAAAGTGGTTACGAGAACTGTTGGTTTCGTATGGTATGCCTCATCACTGGAGTTATGCCATACCCAACAGACTTGTTTCGGCTGTAAGTAACCCATCATCATGGCGATCGCTTTTTCGTTCTTCTCTGGAGTATGGGTTTCGATTGCCCCTGCCTACATGGTTGTGTGTTGTAATGCACCGTAGTAAGCTTTCAATCGATTCTGTTAGTCCTCGTTTTTGGACTTTCATCGCTTGTTTTATTCTGTCATGTCGTCCAGTTGGGGTTCCACCATCCCCCGAGTTGTTTTATGCTTGTTTTTTCTTTCGTCATGATCGAGTGGCTTGGGAACTGCACAAACGGAAGTCAGCCAATAACCTTTGCACTTCGCTGAGCCATCTGAAGGGGTCGTGGGAGACGGAATTTTTTATTTTCTTGCCCCTCCTAGTGAGTTTACCTCCGGAGGTATCACGGTCCCAGCTGACTGGAGTGAAGGTGTTACAGGTGGATTTCAGGATCCCGTGATTGAGGGAGAAATTGCTTTACATCATGATCGGCTTCTCCGGGAGAGACCCATTGATATAAGTACTCCTGGGGTTCGAGCAAGCTTGTTTCTTGCTGTTTATGGTAAAGGTATGTCATTTTTACAGTACTTCCCTTTTTGTGACCGTATTTTCTAACTGTAATCCTTCCTTGCAGATTACTCGCCCTTTCAGAGGTGTATGAGGAATAGAGAAGTGCCAGTAGTGCCTCACTCGTATGTCGGGGTGCCAATTCGTGAGAGACCAGATAATCCCCCGCGTGGACGGTCGAGAGTTCGTCATGACAAGTCGAAGAGAACTCGTTCCTGGGTGAGAGGATCAGGAGATTCCCCTACTGGGAAGGGTCGCTCTGAGGGGAGAGCCAGAGATGCCAAAGGAAAAACCCCAGTGGGCGGTAGGGGAACCCTGAAGCATCAGGGGGAGTCTTCAAGAGCCAGCAAAGGTGGAATTTTGGCTGGTGGTGTCATAACGTATGACAGTTTGTGCGATGCGGGGAAACACTATTCCGTTTTAGAAGATGTAGCCACAGGATCGACTTTTGCTTCTTCTGTTTCAAAGGTGCTTTTACGTTCTTCCTTTTTTTTTGTCCTCAATTTGTATATGATATATTGACGTTGTTATTTTGCGAATAGCTAGCGAGGTACGCTATTGCCATGGAGTGTCGCCTAGCTATGGCAGAGCTTCGGGTTACTGAGGCCCGAGTGGAGGCAACTCGTTCTTTGGACGAAATGAGAATCCAGATGAAGACAAGAGTGGAGCAATTTTCTTCCAAATCTTGTGAATGGAATGCAGACATGGTGGAGGCTCAACAACATGTTGAGGTAGCCACACAGGAGCTGCGTACCTCAGAAGCAGCTGAGGCTGGTCTTCACCAAAAAGTTGAGCAGCTTCACGTCAGTTTGCGTGAGGAGAGGCTAATCAGGAGGTCTTTACGGTCGGAGAATACTGGTTTACACTCAGAAAACACCACCCTCCGATCAGAGAATAATACTCTACGTCATCAGTTACAGATGGCGGTTTCGGGAGTGATGGATAATGTCCATCGCCTGGCCAGAAGGGCAATTTATTGTATGTATCCTGCAAGAGATATTGATGACACCCGCCTTCGTCAAGTGGTGGAAGAATGTGCGACTACTTTGGAACCTGAGGAGGTGGCATCCCAAAATATGAATGTCGTAGAGGAATGCGCTGGTGCTCCTCAGTCTGGGGAAGCAGCAAGCCAAATTTCGAATCTGGAGATTGAGTTCCATCGCATCTCGCCACTTTTAGATGCGGTTTCTGAAGCATCTCCAATGGTTGGCACCCCAGTGCATTCAGACTTTAATATCTCGACGGCAATATTGTTGGCTGCAACCGAGTTACTCGGCCCAGAGTTTTTTGAGAACTAAAGTTTATGAAATTCCAACTTGAAATAACATTGTAAAATATTATGTAAGATACTCGGTCATATGTATAGCTTAGCTTATATACACCTGTAGTAGGTAATGTACAATGGGCTTCCAAACTTTTGTAATAATAAACACGCTGCTTTTATTGCTAGCTATCTTTCACCCTACCATGGTATTTATTTAGGGAACAATTCCACTAGGGTGTTTATTTAAAAGATAGCAAGGGTATACCATATTTATGGAGTAAAGTATCTCCTTAGATGCATTGTGTTCCAAGTCCTTGACATGTCTTGACCATCAGGGAGTGATAGTTTTACAGTATTTGGTCCCACCACTTTACGCACTTTGTAAGGACCCTCCCACTGGGGGGTGAACTTTCCTTGACTTGGAATGTGTTTGAAGTTTCTCCTCAGAACCCACTCCCCTTCCCTGATGGGTCGATTTCTCACCTTGGCGTTGTAGTAACGCGCGGTCCTCTCTTTGGAAGCGGCGAGTCGCAAAAGTGCTTCCTCTCGACGCTCCACGATGAGATGTAGATCATGAGTGAGCTTGATTTGATTTTCATCAGGGTGGAATGCTTGGATTCTGTAAGAGGAGAGCTCCATTTCAATTGGCAGCACAACATCGGTGCCATAAGTCAAGGCATATGGTGTCTCCCTAGTGGAAGTCTTGTAAGTTGTCCGATGGGCCCAAAGCACATGGGGCAGCTCCTCGACCCATCGACCCTTGGCCTGGCCTAATCTGGTTTTTAGGCCCCATAGGATGCTTTTGTTAGCAGCCTCAGCCTGACCGTTAGCTTGAGGATAGGCCACCGAGGCATATTGAAGTAAGATTCCATATTGGGCGCAGTAGGCCTGTAAATCTTCGCTTGTGAATTGTGTCCCCTGATCCATGATTAGAGTGTGAGGGAGACTGAACCTGCATAAGATGTTTAGCCATAAAAACTTTTCAACTCTCTGAGTGGATAGGCTAGCGATCACCTCAGCCTCAATCCACTTGGTAAAATAATCAATGGCTACGATCAGCCATTTCTTTCGTCCGGGAGCCGTGGGAAAGGGTCCCAAAAAGTCCATCCCCCATTGAGCGAATGGCCATGGCCCGATGTTAACCTGCATTTTTGATGGAGGTGCATGAGTGGTTTGCGCGGCCACCTGACATTTGGGGCATGCTTGAGCATACTTTTGAGTGTCCCGCCGCATCGTGGGCCAGTAGTAACCTTGTCGTAGAAGGGTTTTTTCCAAGCTACGAGGACCAGCATGCATCCCACATGATCCTTCATGTACCTCCTGTACGGCAAAGTGTGCTTCGCCAATGCTAAGGCACCGCAGGTAGGGTCCAGTGAACCCTTTCTTGTATAAATCTCCCTCGATCAGGAGGTAACGAGGAGCACGTCTCTTAAGGCAGATGGCTTCCTTCTGGTCAGCGGGCAGGAAATGAGGTAACTTGGGCGCATAACATTGTTGGACGCCTTTCAATGATCACATGTCTCTCGCTGAGGAAGTCTTGTGCTGTTGCAAGTTTTGATAATGCGTCTGCATGAAGATTATCCTCACGAGATATGTGGACTATCTCCGATTGAGGAAACTCAAAGAGTGCCATACGAGCGGCATTGGTGTATGGTACGAGCGCGGGCTCTCGTACCTCGTATGCCCCCTGCACTTGATTGACAACTAGGGCAGAGTCAGAGTGGACCCTAATTCGTTGAATGCCCAATTCTTGAGCCATAATCAGTCCCGCTAGGAGGGCTTCATACTCGGTGCCATTGTTCGTCATGGTGCTGGCAAAGCGAATTGCCAATTCATGAGTGACTCCGAGAGGGCTGATGAGCAAAACTCCTGCTCCTGATCAAGTTTTACTAGATGCACCATCAATGTACAATCTCCAAGTCTCTGTTTCTGGCGGGAGACATGCTCGAACACCTTCTGCAACAAAGTCAGCTAAAACCTGGGACTTGATGGCGGTGAGATGGAGGAAAGTGATATCGTATTCACAAAGCTCGATGGCCCAGTTCACCATTCTACCAGCAACATCCATCCGCTGAAGTAGACGACGTAAAGGCAGTTGAGAGAGTATACATATGGGGTGGCTTTGGAAGTACGGACGCAGCTTTCGAGTGGCAACCACCACAGCTAGGGCGGCTTTCTCCACAGGAGAGTATCTTGTTTCGGCATCTAACAGGTTCTTACAAGTGTAGTAAATAGGATGCTCTTTATTGTCTATATCTCGGCGAACGAGTACAACACTCATGGCCTTGGAGGAGACAGCAAAGTATAAGTACAGTGTCTCGTTGTTGACGGGAGATGAGAGTATTGGGGGATTCACCAAGTACTCCTTAAGTTCTGTGAAAGCTTTCTCACATTCAGGAGTCCACTGAAAGGTTTTTCCAGCTCCTTTTAGGGTGTTGAAGAAAGGGGCACACCGATCCCCAGCTCGTGAAATGAATCGATTGAGTGCCGCAATCCTTCCTGTTAGAACCTGTACTTCTTTATGCTTTGTAGGTTATGTCATCTGGAGAATCGCTTCAATTTGCCTGGGGTTAACCTCGATTCCACGTCTTGTCACCATGAATCCAAGAAACTTCCCTGCGGTGGCCCCGAAGACGCACTTTTTTGGATTAAGGCGCAAGTTGTATCCTCGTAGGGTATCAAAAGTCTCGCGTAGATCTTCTAAATGTGCATGTGTCTCTGCACTTTTGATTAGGATGTCATCCACAGAGGCTTCAACATTTCGACCTAGTTGTTGGGCAAAGACTCGATCCACCATACGTTGATAGGTAGCTCCGGCATTTTTGAGGCCGAACAGCATCACCTTGTAGCAATAATTTCCTACCGGAGTCATGAAGGAAGTATATTTTTGGTCGTCCTTCTTTAGTAAGATCTGGTGGTACCCTGAGAACATATCAAGAAAAGAGAGATGGCGATGACCGGCGGTCGCATCAATAAGCAGATCAATCTTAGGCAAAGGATACGGGTCCTTCGGGCAAGCCTTGTTGAGATCGGTGAAGTCAACACACATTCTCCACTGGCCGTTGGCCTTTTTAACCATGACCACATTAGCCAACCATGTTGGGTAGAGAACCTCGCTAATGAAGCCGGCTTGCCCTAGCTTGATTACCTCCTCTGCTATGGCCTGGCGACGTTCCCATGCAAAGTTCCTTCTTTTTTGTTGGATGGGCTTGCTACCTGGGATTATCCCTAGTGTATGCTCGGCAACTTTTGAATCAAGACCAGGCATATCCTCAGGTCCTTGAGCAAAGAGCTCTTTGTACTCGATCATCAAACTAAGAAGTTGTGTGAGATAATTTTTAGGCCATGCCATGGATACACAAACTGTTCGCCCTTCTTCTAATGTATGTTCTTCATCAGGGTCAACGGGAACGGGACGAGCAACCTCGTCTTTGGCTTCCATCGTGGCCACAAAGCCATCTTTAAGGGAGAACTCACAACACTGTCGTGCAAGAGCTTGATCTCCCTTCACACACCCGACTCCGGCAATAGTTGGGAACTTCAATTTTAAGTGCAGAGTTGAGGGTATAGCCCGAACTTGATGTAGAAAAGGGCGCCTGAGAATGCAGTTGTACGCGGAAGGGCAGTCAATAACATGGAAGTTGATTGTGTTCTCTACAGTTTGTTGGTCATTGCCAATACGAACTTGGAGTGGGAGAATCCCCAGAACTAGGACTTGATTTCCGGAGAAGCCCACGAGGTAAATGCTAGGAGGGTGACATTTGTTTAGTTGAAGACCCATGGACTTGAAAGCTGGGTAGAATAAAAGATCTGCTGAGCTTCCTCCATCAATGAGGACTCGTTGCACAGAATAGTTTGCAATTACTGCCTTAATGACTAAGGCATCATCATGAGGATACTCGATATCTTCAAGATCCCTATCATCGAAAGGTATGGGAATTAGTGTGGTAGAAGCGGAACCGACCAACCTTGGGGCAGTGGTTGAGCGAGAACCAACTTCTTCGGATAATTTGACCCCACCATGAATGACAGGAACATTTCCCAACACCGATCCACTTCCCTGTGGTGCTTTTCCTTTGTCTATTATTGGAGGTGAAGGGAGAATAGGGGGACGAATATTCTTTACGAAGTCTCAAAGATAGCCTCGTTGGATAATTCCTTCAATAGAGTGCTTGAGGGTGTAATAACTTTCTGTATCATGTCCCGTACATCGGTCAAATTCGCAGTAGAATTGTTGGCCCTTTCTTGAAACCCTCATAACTGGAGGAGGTTGAGTAATGGGAATTTTCTTCTCTCGAATGATCTGAAGAATGGTTTGTCTAGAGCGATTGAGAGGAGTATAGCTTTGTTGTAACTAGGTATCTTCCCTTCTGGAATTTTGGGAAGAGTTTCGGACCTCGGCTGTAGGAGCTTGACGTTGTCGGCGGGAATCTTGGGATGAAGACTCTTGTTTTCTTTTGGATCCTGCCCGACTAACCTCCTGAAGTGCTTCTTCTAGATCAATATATTTTGAAACTCGCTCTTGAAGCTCCATAGTGCTGTGGGGAGCCCGTTTTGCAAGAGAAGCATATAAATCAGTGTTGATAGTCCCTCGCATCAGGGCATTGGTGGCGATCTCAGTGGAAATGGACGTTAGTCCGATGGCGATGTTACTATATCGAGTATAGTAAGCCTTGAGTGTCTCATCATCACGCTGCCTGATGCTGAGGAGTTGATGGATGTTGATAGGTTGTTTTTTTTTGTGCGTAGAATTTGCATCTGAAGAGAGTGGCAAATTCGAAGAAACTGGAGATAATACCATCTTGTAACTTTGAGTACCATCGTCGGGCATCTCCACGGAGTGTTGCTGGGAAGATTTTGCACATTGTTGCATCAGATGCTACGATTAATGGCATTAGGATTTGAAAAGAGCAAAGGTGGTCTTCTGGATTTGTGGTGCCATAATACTCTGGCAAGCTTGGTAAATGAAGATTTTATGGGTAGGGCTCATCCTACACGATTCTGGATAGAGGTCCTCCTACTCCGGTTGAAGTGACAACTCCGTGTCCTGGGGAAGGTTCGAGCAGATTGGCTGAGAGACTCGAAGCGATTAATCCAACAGGTGCTGACATCCCATTGGGTGGTTCATTAACCGAGCCATGGGCTGCAACTCTCTCCTGATTATTTGTTACGGGTCCTCTGGAAGATCCAGGAGCATTAATCAGGGAGGCTTCTTTGGCCCTGAGTTGAGCTCTAAGTCGCTCAATCTCAACCTGCATCTCACGTACTTGTGGAGGAGTAGGGGTGGGAATTGCTTCTGGTGCTGGAATGGAGGTATTCTGTGCAAGTGGCACCACTCGAGGCTCTGTATTTTGACTCGGTGCATCGCTGAGTGGTGAATGGGGGGTTGGGTTGCCCCCAGTCTCCATTACTGTTAAAGAGCGACGCACTGCTTCAATGGTAGGAATACTGGGAGAACCTTGGGTATTCATCACGGCTTGGTGGTGGTTTGTTAAAACTTTGGAAATATTCTTCTCACCGGGCCCCACGGTGGGCGCCAATTGTTGATGCCAAGCTTAGAGCAGCCTGCTTCAATATGTTTAAGGTACAGAGAGCGCTGATTTCCCAAAGCCTTTAACCACCTCCAGCTCCGTGCGAATACCTGGAAAAAAAAAGGTCCCAACGGGGGGGTCCTGGTTGGAACCTCCTCCGACGCTCAAATTAGTAACCTGAATAAAATAAATACGATGACGTTAGACCTAGTTCGGTCCCACGGTCGTAATTGAGCGTCGTCGGCTATTTAATGTTGCACGGTGGAGACTATCCACGATCCCATGGCTTAGTCCGCCAAATTGAGAGTGTGTTGAGTGTTAAGAGATTTAACACGTTTTTGGGAGATCGGGAGGAGAGAGAAAACGTTTTTAGAGAGAGAAAGTAGAGAGAGTGTATATTGTGTGTGAGTTTTGTTGTGTGAATTAGTCGTAAGCGACTTATGTGGTGTGTGTGTGTGTGTGTGACTTGTTGTTGTTTTGAAAGGGGGAGGGGTGCTCCCTATTTATAGGAAAAAGCCGTAGTTAAATTCCTCAACTTACGTTAACATTCACCGACATTCTCCATTATTCTCCTATAACTCGTTAATATTCTCCGTAATACCTTAACATTCTCCGTCACACACTAATATTCCTCACCAATTATGGTATATGAGAAAGTTCAAGTGTGTATGAGAAAGCATGAGAAAGTGTAAGTATGTAATAGAGAATAAATGAAAATAAGTGAGTGATTATGGAACATAGAAAATTGGTGAATGGTTTTAGTTCTCTACTCTACGTATGCATGGGAATGAGATGCTTATGTGGGAAATAGGTGCAATATGTAAGAACAAAGGGGAGCATGTACATATGTGAATGTTGCATGTTCATGCATGGTTGTGCATGTGGAAAGGAAGAAAATGAAAGAAAATAAAAGAAAGAGGAAGAAGTGGAGGTTGGAAGCTTTTGTGTATGGGAGGTGGAATGTTTCTGTATGCATGTATGGGAACATTGGGAAGAAGAAAGAAAGAAAAGGAATGTGAAAGAACAAAGGAGAAATAAGGAGGAGTGTGTCTGTTTGTCATCTTCCCTTTTGCATGGGGAAGGAGGAAATAAGAAATAGAAAAATCAAATAAAAGAAAGAAGGAAGGAAGGGAAGGAGTAATACGTGGGAAGGAAAAGGGAAGTAAAAGACATAATTTATGGTTAGGGAAAGTAACAAGAATAAGAAAAAACAATAATAAGAGTTGGAGAGTAAAAACAACATAGGAGATGGATGATTTTAACGGTATAATACGAGTTTTCGGGTGTTTCAAGTATCGTAATAATTAAGAATCTATTGAGTGTATTAACGAAATGTGAGGTGTTTAATATTTTTAAAATTTTATCGATTAAGAATTGGGTCTATCATGTTCCTTCCCACTGGAGACACAGCCACACCAAGGAAAATAGATCAGCAGAAGTAGAACATGCTACTTATCATGACAATTTTAGAATAAATCAACTCACCCATAATTTTGTAAACAATAAGACGATCTACAAGATGAACTGCAATGGCTTTCAGAAGGATTTCGATCAACATCGACCTAAATCTGTGAGGTCCACAATTAAACCAATGCCAGGACTTCAACAAGCATGTCCCATATGCGAATTGTTAGTTTACTTTGACACTAAATCAGTCAATATATAGCTAATTATCAAGCTAAACACAAAGAAGATAGTACAAGGGCATCGACCTGGTAAAAGGACATGACCAATTAAACTCATAAACCTAAAATGAGCATGGAATTTCAATCCCCGTTGATAACGTTGGATTTGCACATGTTTACACCCTTGTTTCCTTACCATTTTAGCTCGAATTTGTTGTTCCTTGGCCTATTTTACGCTAGGTTGTGTTGTTTTGTCGTATTTCAGGTCCTAGCAAGTAAAGTGGTTCATAGGCGCAAGTTTCGGGTCATTTGGAGATCAGGTGGCGATTCAAAGAGCAAATTACGGGCAGCCCCTGCCCATTTACGGGCGTAATTGCTCCTGGCATGCCCGTAAATGCAATGCTGACTCACTTCTACTGTCACTCCAGGAATTGGCCAAGTGAAACCACTTCCTAAAGCGTAGCATAGCGGGTTTGGGTTTAATTTTCAACCCGAGTCCTAGATTTGATGACTACTCAGTGAATTCTTGTTATCTAGCAATGAAACTTTAATGCAAGTCTAAACTATCAAACTAACAAAGCAAGTAAACTGTTGTATTCAGGTTAAGAGAGGTCATCCGGATATGGTTCCCCCTAGACTACAGTTAAGCCGGATTGTAATTACCAAGTTCAGTTTCTATGATAGTTATACTGCGGAAGGTTCTTAAACAGCCTGAAGTCTCGACTAAAGGTCTTCAGACCCTCTCAATCTGAGTCTCTAGCGGGCGACTAACCTCCACCGGAGTAAATAGATTGAGGCCTTAACAAACAAAACCTCCACTACCGGAGTAAATCCGGTACATAATAGTGAGTTGGCTCCTCGACTAAAGTCACCAACTCCCTACCTTCAATCAAGGATGCTCTATCAACCTAGGCAGATATTCTCATTCTAAGTTGAAGCAGAAACAACAGGAATTTGATCAGGATTCAAGTCATTCAATCATTCAAACCTCAATCGAATATAATCAAATCATAGAATCAGTACTCGGGTTCATACAATCAAAGCCTAACATACAAATCTAGGGTTCTCCATACCCAGATGAATGGGAGAACTACTCCATGGAGAAAGAAGCAAAAGCAGAATCAGACGCGGAATTCATACTGTGAAGGATGGATTCCTGCTCCTGGACGTTGATCGGCACTTCTCCAAGCTCAAACTGGCCTCCAATGGTGTTGAAGATCAAGCTAGGGCACCTGGATCGTCGCTTTCTCTCTCTAGGAACTGATCTCTCTCTCCAAAACTCGAATCCCCTTTTGTTTGGCTGAAAATCTGCTTAAAAGGGCATCAGTGGCCAAAGCACGGTCGAGGGCACGGCCGTGTAATGCCTCAGCCCGCCCGTGCTTTGGCTAGTGTTAATTACACTAGGAGAAACACGGCCGTGCTTTTGGGAGGACACGGCCGTGCTTTGGTGAAGCACACCCGTGTTCTATCTCAGCCCTGCCCGTGTTTTGGCCAATGTTTGCCAAACTCGAATTAGCTCTCGGCAGTAAAAGCACGGTCTCAGAACACGGCCGTGTTCTGGTTTAGGTGTGCCCGTGTTTTGGCTCAGTTTCACCGAAATGACTTCCGAATGCCCCGAAACTAGTGCTTAGCCTTCCCTTTTACACCTGGGACCTGAAACATGACAAAATAGCACAACCCGGCATAAAATAGGCAAAAAACACACGACTATGCCCCTCAAACGGATAAGAACTAGGGGCGCAAATATGTGCAATTACATCGTTATCAAACTCCCCCACACTTAACCGTTTGCTTGTCCCCAAGCAAACCTAACTCAAACCAATGCAACTCTCCAGACCTCTATAGCAACAAACAACCCATATCATAGGTAGAGGACTTCCTAGATCATTTAGCAACTTACGAGGTTAACCGACGCACAAGTCATCTCATAGCTTCTTCGGCGAGAGCACTAGTATCGAGTCGGCATCATGGCAAATAGTGAACAGAGGACAAATGCATTGTGTATGAAGAGATTCTCAAAAACAAAAGATCATGGACTCACATTTTTCAAGGTGCTCTATTTTCTTCTTGAAGATGGTTGGAACCCCTTTTCTTTCTGTTTTGCTTGTTTTCTGTTATTTTATTTTCTCTTTTTGTTTTCAAGGGTTCCAACCTGCTCTTACCGGCCATGCCAGGAGCGGATGTCTCGAGCCTCGTGCGGGGGAAAGACATGTAAGGGGGCTGGAGGTAGTAGGTGGAAATTGGGAACGAATTCCCGTCTCCCCTTACACACTTTCGCCCTATTCGCACGGGAGACGATATTCTAAAGCACATTTTCGAGCACCTGTTATTTTCAAGACATGATACAAGAGTCCATGACAGGTAGAGAGTCCACAACACCACACAATTCAAGGGTCCTAAGATCACTAATTCACCCAATCAACCAACACAATATGAAGAAGAAATGAGACTTCTTAAATGCATCAACATCCTTCATAGTGCTACACTACCTCCCTAGGTTGCATATTACTATAAAGACTGTCAATTCAAAGCATACTGAGCAGGCAATTGCACGGAAACACATACTTGGAGCCCTCAAATTTTAAAAATTTGGACAGTGGACTAGGCTCCAAGCACACAAACAGATCTAATGCAGTCAAAAGATAAACATCCCCCCACACTTAAGATCGACATTTCCCTCAATGGAGAAGAGGGAAGGGGAACGATGTTACCGGTATGCACGGACTGCAGGGGACTGGAAGCGGACCAGTCGGAGTGAAGCGGACTGGAGAGAGGACCAGTCAAGCCAAGCACAGCTAAAGGAAACCAAAGAGCTCAAGCACAATATGTTAGGTCCAATGTTCAGCCCAATAATACATCATCCAGAACAAAAGAAAACAAACCAAACCCAAACCGGGTTACAATCCGACTCAAAACACAAGAAAGAAAGTCAAACCGTGGTGGGGTTGCCTCCCCACAAGCGCTTCTTTACCGTCTTTTAGCTGGACGCCCATGGTGGATACTCAGGGAGGTGCAGGGACAGGTGCCTCCAAGAGCGGATCCACGTCGCTCTTGAGGTACAGCTTAAGGTTGTGGCCATGCACCCGACGGATGCAACCACCATCATCGGTCAGCTCGACCTAGCCATCCGGTAAGATGCAGGCGAGTGAGTACCCGGACGGCCAGGGTGGTCGTGGTGCAGGAGTTGGGACCAGCTCATAGTGGTCTCCACTCTTCTTCCGTGCAGGCTTAGCAACCTGCTGCTTCGGCCGC